CAGAAAGAAAGCCCTTATGAGAGGAAATGACAACGTCCTACCACAAAGTTATCTCTTATCAGTTATAGTCTCAGTCAATAATGATTTGTCAAACTTGGACATGTGTAAAATGCAAGAGCTGTGTTATTTACTTTGGAAAGGAAAAATTAGATGAAGCTGATAACAACAGAGTCATGGCATTTGTTAGGAGACAGAAACCATTAGAGATAGTCATTGTTAGCTTAGGAAAGTGTCCTTGGACCCCTCCCTCTGCCCCAGCTGAAACCTAAACCTGCTTGAATCATTCTTGCAACTTGAGGGAAGGGAGGGGCAAAGGAGGGGAAGAAGAATGAAGACAGTTTTGATAGAGATTTAGCATTTTAAACGGAGAGCAAAAGGTGGACCTTAAAACAGACCTGTATGAGTCAGAAAAACTGCCTTTTGTTCTCTTCCCCACCCCATTTATTTAGATTTTTGAAAGTTCATTTCTTATCCTTCCAAATGTGTAGCATTCCTTCACGTACAGTGTAGGTTGCTCTCTTGCTTTTGCCTTTCCCTAGATGTGATTTTTTTTCATTAGTGAAAATAGAGAAAACACATCTAGCTCAAAGCAACATGAGTCAGTGCATGCTTTACGTGCCTTTCTCCTCACAGCACTGTTCCTGGTTCCTCACAGTTTTCCTGGTGCTCCTCACAGAAGGGAGCACAGAGGAAAAATGATTTCTAAATAGCAGACTATTTTGAAGAGGGAGGTAAAGTTTGTAAGCTGAAGCCCCATTTTGTTCCATCTCGTCAAGATTTTTGTGTACTGCTTTCAAAGCAGGCAGTCATGGGCTTAGGAGGACTTAACTGGACTATGATTTCAGAGCTAAGAAACAGCAAAGCTAGTATTTCCAGGTCAGGGCACTTTAAACAGTTTGTAGCTGAGTATGATGATGTCAAGACAGCCTCACAGAGAATAGTTTGGTTGTAAAATTTGGTGGAGATGATAGGAAAGACCTTTGTCTCCCGCGCACGCGCGTGTGTGTTTTAGTTGGCCCAGATAAATTGGTCTTATTAGTCCATTAGTAAGAGGCCCTATTAGCTTATTCAGCACAGATTTATAGGGAGGCTGCCCCCTAATATGGATGTTTATTCTGTAAGGGTGGGTCCACATGTGAAAGGGCCAGTGCTCTGTCTGGAGAATGGCTTGAGGCACTTAGTTTCCTTTTGAATGAAACTACAGCTCTGAGTCAAAGCAAAACAAAATAAATTGCATGAAGAACATAAATGGAAAGTTGTGATTAAATTTTTATTCAAAATTAAGTAAGGCACTTTCTTTAACTTTTTGCAAGTATTCTTATAATAATCATTATAATTATTAATCTTTATAATTATTAATTCTAAATAAAAGAAAAAAGTTTCATTTCTTATACAGATCAGGTTTTTAAAATGTTTCTTGTCTTTTTTCATCTGCCTGTTTAATTTTTGTGTAGTTTAAATACAATTATAAATGAAATTTTACTATTTTTCTTCTTTTGAGATTGTGTTTCACTTAGCTGTAGTTTTTACTGGTAGGCTCTGGTTTTCTGGAAAGACAAAATGAATTTCCTTCTTTAAATCTCCACTTTGCAGTCAAAGAGGTGAGACTGTAAAGATGGCTTTAATGTTGCAGTTATTTCAAATAAGTGTGCCTAAATTATCACATGTTGCTTCATTTTGAACCACTTAAAAATGTTAAGATAAAGATGAGTGTCCACTTGTACTCTTTTTTATTAAAGATTTTAATTATTTATTTTTAGAGAGAGTGGAAGGGAAGGAGAAAGAGAAGGAGAGAAACATCAATTTGTGGTTGCCTCTTACATGCTCCTTACTGGGGACCTGGCCTGCAACCCAGGCACATGCCCTAACTGGGAATCTAAGTTGCGACCCTTTGGTGTGCAGGCCAGCACTCAGTCCACTGAGCCACACCAGCCAGAGCCATTTGTACTCTTAAAGTTACAATTTTTATGTGCCTTTTAATGTTATTTTTTTAACTACATGTGCCCATCTGTGTATAAACTGTTGTCTCAGTAATTTTGCTTGGGATGTTGTATAGAATTTGAGCACCTTACTATCAGTCTTTGGATTCACATAAAAGTTTGTTTGAGGGCTTACTTAGTATATAGCGCTATGAGATTCTTAAATATAGAGATTTAATCTCTGCCTTTATGGATGCAAGCAAATGAACAAAATTGTCAGTAAATTTGAACCAATAGAGATGGTTATATTCTGATTAATCATACAGTTACCAGCATTACAGTAAAAACTTCAGCTAGGTTTTTTTAAAAAATTACTTTTAATGTAATTTTGTCTTTTTTGCTTTTTGTTTTTTCAGTGTTTACTTTCAGTATCTTTTTTTATTCTTACTAAATTCCTATAGGTCAACTGATAGTTTCTTTTTTTAGTTGAAGAAATTGAGGCCAAAGTAAATTGTGATTTACTGTCAGGTCACATAACAAATTGATTTTTAGCACTGACTATACTCCAGTTCTTACCTGATATTTTTTTGTTTTACTTTCTCTTTTGATGTCTAGGTTTAATCTGTAGGCATTGCTCATATAATAATTTGTTAGTATTACTTGTAGGATTGGCTTTCCCATTTTTAAGTATATTTTATTGATTATGCTACTACAGTTGTCCCAATTTTCTTCTCCCCTTTCTCTCCCAACTCCCTGCATCCCCCACCCTCTAGCATCCCCCTCCTTAGTTCATGTCCATGAATTGTACAAATTAAGTTTTTCAGCTTCTTCATTTCCTGTAGTATTCTTAACCTCCTCCTGTCTATTTTGTGCCTACCTATTATGCTTCTTATTCCCTGTACCTTTTCCCCCATCCTTTCCTTCTTTCTCCCCACTGATAACCCTCCATGTGAGCCCCATTTCTGTGATTCAGTTCCTATTCTAGTTGTTTGCTTAGTTTTTTTTTTTAGGTTCAGTTGTTGATAGTTGTGAGTTTGTTGTCATTTTACTGTTCAAAGTTTTTGATTTTCTTTTTCTTAGATAAGTCCTTTTTAACATTTCATATAATAAGGGCTTGGTGATGATGAACTCCTTTAATTGACCTTATCTGGGAAGCACTTTATCTTTTCTTCCATTCTAAATGATATCTTTGTTGGACAGAGTAATCTTAGATGTAGGTCCTTGCCTTTCATGGCTTGGAATACTTCTTGCCAGCCCCTTCTAGTCTGTAAGGTTTCTGGTAAGAAATCAGCTGATAGCCTTATGGCAATGCCTTTGTAAGTAACTGTCTCCTATTCTGTTTCTGCTTTTAAGATTCTCTCCTTATCTTTAATGTTGGGTAATGTAATTATGGTGTGCCTTGGTGAGTGCTTCCTTGGGTCCAATTTCTTTGGGGCTCTCTGAGCTTCTTGGACTTCCTGGAAGTGTCTTTCCTTTGCCAGATTGGGGAAGTTTTCCTTCATTACATTTTCCAATAAGTCTTCAATTTCTTGCTCTTGCTCTTCTTCTTCTCCTTCTGGCACCCCTAAGATTTGGATGTTGGAACATTTAAAGTTTTCCTGGAGGTTTCTAATCCTCTCCTCATTTTTTTGAATTCTTATTTCTTCATTCTGTTTCAGTTGAATGTTTATTTCTTCCTTCTGTTCCATATCTTTGATTTGACTCCTGGTTTCCTTTCCTTCACTATTGGTTCCCTGAATATTTTGCTTTATTTCACTTTGGGTATCCTTCATTCTGTGACCCAGCTCAATCAAATCTGTGAGCCAGTGTTTTGAACTCTGCATCTGATAGATTGGCTATCTCTTCATCGCTTACATCCTAATTTTGAAGTTTTGATCTGTTCTTTCATTTGAACCATAATTCCTTGTCTCTGCGCACCTGTTACATTTTAAGAGGCAGTGTCTTAGGTATTTGCCTGGTTGGGGCATCCCTGCCTGTGGGAGAGAGCTCAGAGGGGGAACTATGTGGCTTGCTGGGCTCTTGTTCCACTGTCACTTCCATCTCTTCCCACAAGAGGATCGTGCACTTTCTGGTGCTGATTTGCAGGTGGGTGTGTTTGTGTATGTTTTAGGATCCTGTGGGCCTCTCCATCAGACTCTCCTATGAGACGGGGAGTTTCCCCCATGGCCGCAACCCCGCCCCCCACATTTTGACAGACAGGGGTTTTTAGTCTTTAGTTTTCCGCACTGAAACTCTGGATTTTGCCTTCTGTCTTGCACTCCCTTTGTTCCTCCCAGGTTATCTGTGAACAAATTTGGGATAGCCTGTGCAATCCACTGCCTTGCCGTGGTCCTCTCCACCCTGGCTGCCTTGCTGCCCATCTGTGCCCCTCCCACCGGTCTGGATGAGTATTTCTGTAACTCCTTGGTTGTTGGATTTCTATGCAGTTTGATTTTCTGGCAGTTCTGGTGGTTCTTTGTTTTTAAATTGGTTGTTATCCTTCTTTTGCTTGTGTGAGGCAGCAAAGTGTTTCTGCCTACACCTCCACTGTGGCTGGAACTCTCTGGCTTTCCCATTCTTTATCTTAGTTTTCACACCGTCTCCCTTCTTCTTTTCCTAGCATATTTCTGCATTTTGATTGTGTTCTGACTTAAATGGTCATGAATTTTTCTGCCTTTCAGAAGTTGGCTACAGGCCATTTAATTCATCCTCTGTGGCAAGTTTTGTTTTGACCACTAAAATGTAGTTTTTTTTATGCAGACTATCATGAATCTAAGAATGCAAAGTCAGATTTTCAAAGATACATCCTCACCCTCTTTTCCCTCTGCAGGAGCAGTGACACCTGTTACTCTTCTCTGTTATATGTCCTTCTGTTCTGTGTTCCCATCCTCGATGATATCTTCACAGTTTATTAACCACCTGGCCAAAATGCCAAAACTAGGCTTCTGGGAGCATGGTTTGTTTGCTTGATTTGTGTTTCTCTCTCAGAAGCTAGACCTGGTCTTTTTTTTTTTTTTTTAAACAGTTGAGCAGTAAAAATGAATGCAGTTGCTTTTAATAGCTTTGTTTGAATATTTTGTGACAATCTTGATTGTTTTACAGGTACCTGGAGCCCAAGATTTGGTGGATTTCTCTCCTGTTTATCGATGTCTACACATATATTCTGTCCTGGTGAGTTTTTTAGCTGGCTCTGCCTACTAGAGATATATATTGAATTCAAACTCTGCTTTCTCATTTTTGATAATTTTTCTGTTTATTATTAAGAGTAAGGAAAGAGCAACTTATTTAAGGAGTATTATTAAAACATCTTTTTTTTAAAAAAATTTTATTTATTTATTTTTAGAGAGGGGGAAGGGAGGAAGAAAGAGAGAGAGAAACATCAATGTGTGGTTGCCCATCATGTGGCCCCCACTGGGGACCTGGTCTGCAACCCAGGCATGTGCCCTGACTAGGAATTAAACTGGCAACCCTTTGGTTTGCAGCCCATGCTCAATCCACTGAGCTACACCAGCCAGGGCTATTAAAACATCTTTTATTCTTGAATCTTTTATGTTTCCTATGTAATATGTTATAACTAGTAACATTAATTTCTGTCAGTCAACATGTTATTAGATTATACCTAAAAATACTTGCATGTTCAGATTTCAGTTCTGAATTTAATAATGCATTTATGTAAATAACAGTAGCCAAACTTTATATATTAAAATGATATTTGTAAAAGTGGTGTTTTATTCCTGATTACAGTTATTCTTTTTGTCATACAAAGCATATGAAAAGAGGAACCGCTTTGGGGGAAATATTATGGGTGTTATTGGTATTCTAATAAACAAACTAGAACTCATCTGCATCTTGGTAGTACACCTACATGCAGACACACAGATACATACAAAGTCAGTCAAAAAAAAATAAACATTGAAATTAAAGACAAATTGATGAGAGAAGCTCACTATGGTTATTTTTAATAGCAAAGTTCAGTGAAACTTCTATCAAGTTGTTATTAATATAATGCTAAGCAAAGTAAGTCTGTCTTATTATCCAGTCTGTTATCCATTTGCCTCCTTCATATATGTAATGTGGTGTCACTTGGTGATGACTCCAGACAGTTTGGGATGGGTCTGTGGACGCCATGACCTGCAGTGTTATGTGGTGCTCTCCATTAATTTGAGAAAAGACCTGGCAGTCCTGTGCTCCCTTCTCTTTCCTCCTCTGGTTCCCTCCTCGCCTGTCCTGTTCTCCCTCCCACTCTTTTTTCCATCTCTCATTCCTTGTTACATGTATAACGATGAAGTAGAATATAACTGAGTTGTATCAAGACATTTAAAGTAAGTAGACAATTTTTTTCAACTTAATGTACAGAGAATTAAAGAAATTATATATATCTTATTTTTGTGGCACACTACTATTATTTCACACAAAGCTGTCATTTATATTTTATCATTTTTTCCTATTCATCTCCTACCTACAAGCCCACTCGTCTCCTATCCCCAACTAACTCTAATATGTTTAATTTATGGTCATGGTTGTGCTTGTGTCCTTGAAAAAGTGATTTTTGTATATGAAGGTATTTTCAGTTTACTCAGATAGTGTTGTCTTATGGATCTAGTTGTATTTATTGTATTTTTTAAATTCAGCACTATTTCTAATGTCCTTGTTATCATCTCTATATCTAACTGATTGCCTTGCACTTCTGCATGATAATTAGCTGATGGTTTGTATTTGCTGTGCTTTAATTATCGGTTACACTGATGATTAACACTTAAATTGCCTCTAATATTTCTTCTGTAACAAATATGATCCCCTTATGGACTTCTGTGTAAGTTTCCATGCCTAGGAGTAGAATTTCTGGGTGTAAGGTATATGTATATGTATAATATAATTACACTAATTCTTAATTTTTGTTAATTTGATGAATATTGAATGATAGCTTTTTGTTATAACTTACATTTCTTTGATTACTAGTAACATAGTGCTTCTTTTTATAGACTTATTAATCATTTAAGATTAGTCTTCTCTAAACTACCCAATCTTTATTTAACCTTTTTCAATTTTGTATTGGATTCCTTTTTTTTTTTCTTCAGTAAAACACCTAGATAATTACAGATTTTTCCCTTTGAAATGGCTAGTCTGTTATATGTAGAAAAGGTGAAAAGATACTTTTTTGTTTAGTTTGTTTTACAGTTATACCTTTTTAACAAATTAATTAGGGTGGCATTGGTTAATAAGATTATATAGGGTTCAAGTGTACAATTGTATGGTATATCACCTGTATATTACATTGTGTGCCCACTACTCAAAGTCAGATCTTCTTCAGTCACCAAATATTTGGCCCCCTTTAACCTTTACTGTCTTCCTCCCCCCTTCCCTTTGGTAGTTACCATATGGTTATGTGACTATGAGCTTTCATTTTTCTTGTTTGTTCATTTGTTGCTTTCAGTTTTATATCCCACATATGAGTGAGATCATATGGTTCTTAACTTTTTCTGTTTGACCTAATTTGCTTAGCATGATGCTCTCAAGATTTCTTGTTTTAGTTTTAATTTTTTCTTTTTTTGTTGAAAACAGAAATTTCAGAAATTTCCTGTATATGGTAGATATTGACAGTTTAGGATGTTGTAAATGTTTTTTTATTACAGCTTGTCACCATACACTAAACTATGTCTGTTATTTGAAACAGAAAGTATTGATTTTGATATAAATGAGTCCATTAATTTTAACCTTATATGTAGTTTGTATTTTTGCCTTTATAAAAAAAATCCTTCTTTATTCTGATGTCATAGGTATTCCCTTACATTATCTTTTACATTTTACTATTTACATTTTGATCTATCTTGGGTTCTCCATTGTTTATAGTATGAATATAGTTCCAATAATTTTTTTCTATATGATGAATTCAGTTTTACCAACCCCCTCTACTATATAATTTGTACATCACCAGTGATTCCTGGTAGTACCTTTGGCATACACTAAATGTCCATATTGACATGAATTTGTTTCCCAGATCTATATTTGGTTTTGTAATACATCTACATAAGTGATAAAAGAAGTGCCTTCTCACTTCTCCTCTTTTATTTTTATTTTTTACTTTTTAAAGATTTTATTTATTTTTAGAGAGGAAAGAAGGGAGGGAGAAAGAGAGAGAGAGAAACATCAATGTGTGGTTGTGTCTCGTATGCACATGCCAGGGACCCGTCCCGCAACCCAGGCATGTGCCCTGACTAGGAATCAAACCGATGACCCCTTGGTTCCCAGGCCAGTGCTCAATCTACTGAGCCACACCAGCCAGGGCTCACTTCTCTTTTAAATTGTTTTCACTATTGTAGACCTTTATTTTTCAATATATATTTTAGAATCAGTCCAAGTTCATAAAAAATTCCTTCTAGAATTTTGATTTGAATTGATTGAGATTATAGATAAATTTTGGGAAGAATTGATACTTTTATAATGCTGAGTTATCTCATTCATGAAAGAATTAAGATCTACTTTTAAATTATTTAATGTATCTTTTTTCTACATTAATAGTTTTGGGCATTCTTCATTAGGTTAGTAGCCAAAAGACAGTTTTTGTTGCTATTTTGTACTTTATTTTCTAATTGGTTATTGCTGATATTGAGGAACACTATTGATTTTTGTACATTCACATTATACCTGGCAACTTGGCTCAACTCTTATGACAGTTTGTTTTCTGGTTTATGATAGATTTCTGTGCAGTTGATCATATCTATACATCAATTTTGTTTCTTTTTTTTCTATCCATGTACCTCATTGTTCTTTTTATTGCCTTATTATGTTCACCAGGATCATTATTACTTGGTTGTTTAGTAAGGTGATAGTGGGCATTTTTGTGTGGTTTCTAATCTCAAAGAGAATATCTCTAGTTTCTCCTGTAACTGATGTTTACAGTAGGCTTTTGGTAAATATTCATCCAGTTATTCTTAAACTCCTGAATTTTAAAAAATAAAAACATAAATAAGTGTTGAATTTTATGGAATGTTTTCCAAAGATATGATATAATTCTGTGTTTTTTTATCCCTTAATTTGTGAATATGAATTTCATTGATAGGAGTTTCTGATGTTAAACACCTTGCATTCTTTTGATAAATCAAACTTGATGGGGACATATTACAGCTTTTTAAAAAATATCCTATAGAATTTAAGTCTTATTTGTTAATTCATTCACTTATCTATTTTTATACTTTTTTGTATTTGTATCTATGGTCATAAGTAACACAGGCCTATAATTTTCTTTTTTATTTTTTGGTATTGTCCTTATATGGTTTATAGGTCAGTGTTATGTTAGCCTCCTTAAAATGGTTAAACATTCTTCCCTTTTCTTTATTTTATGAAATTATTTATATAAGATAGAAGTTATTTGTTCCTTGACAGTTGAATAGAAATGCCATGTACAGTAATATGCATTTTTTCTTTGCCACACAGCTTTCTCCCTCCTCCCTGTCATCCTGCTTCCATGATACATGATTTTGTTTAGTCTCTTCATTAGTATGTGTGGTCATAGGAGTCCACAGTTGTTGTATTTAAGTCAAGTGTCTATAGAAAAAAACATATTTACTCATATCAAATTTCACATTCATTTTCAGCCTCCTAATTGCAAAATCAAGTGAATTTTTCCTATCAAATAGTGTCAAGTCTATGAAAAAGAATAGTTTATTTAGTTTAATGTTATATCCTTGGTACAGATAACAGTCTTTGACATATAGTAGGTACTCAGTAAATATTAGTTGAATGAATAAATAAGTGGTAACTAAAGAATGAAGTCCATTTGTTTGAATATATATTAGCTCTAACCTAATTATTTATTTGCATATTCAATAAACACTGATTTTTCCTTCTGCATGAAATGGATTTGGAGAAGCAAGGATGTGTAAATAAGTCAAAAACTTAATGCTTTAAAAAAGTTATAATCTACCAGGTCAGAGGTGTAATTTTTGAATGACGATAATATGACAGTGCTATATCTCATCACTGTGTGCATGCTAGTTTTTGTAAGATTTAATGAGGTAGCAATTATAACAAGTTTTCCTCAAGTGAGAACTCTAGTAATTTGTAAGTGTACTGAAGTAATTAATTTGCACACTTCTTAGCTGTGTGGTGTTGGGCAAGTCACTTAAAACTTAGCCTTTTCATATTGAGATGTGATAATAATTACCTGCTTA